TGCACATTATTTGGGGATTTGACAATTGCTGTAATCCACATTTCAGATCACTAATCCTGAACACGATACCCCACCATTCGCTATATTCCTTTTATGGGATGAGGAAAAAGTCCTTCAGTAAAAACACGACCCACATGGACACTGTAGGCCTACAACCCGCTCTTCTCCTTTTATTAATAATAAATATCTTATTTCTCCCCTGGTTTTAGCAATAACCTTTCCCTTTCTTAACTTTTCTCTCCTGAGTTTATCTAATCCCTGATCTTTATTTCCCCCCCACTGCAAACGTTTACTACTAGTCCAAATCATTTCCTATTGGCACCTTCCACAACACCTAACTTCCCCCCACACTTCAAGGAAAAGTTATTCTGTTTTGTAGAGGGAACGGTCGTAGCTCAATTTAAAGTATGCTGTATTCCCCCACCTCAAAGCACCCTCACTCGTTTCATATCTTTTTACTATAGTATTTCTATCCTTTTTTAACACTTCACTGGACCTCTGGGAATAGTTCGCTAGTGCCCTCGCTTGAAGATATTCCCCTTTCTTGGGGCCCATGGGGGGGCTTATTTTCAGTTACGCACTAAAAACAGGGGAAAAACCAAAATTATGGAGGCGCATGTGGGAAAAACCCATCGCAACAGTTGTAAACAATGGCACACTGAGTCTTGGAGTGGGGTGGGCCCACTCAGGCCGCCTCTGGGGACAGATTTTCCAATGAACTCGTTGTTTTAAATTTTTCGCCGATGGTTAAGGGATTTTTTTTTACTGCAAAAAGCGCCATTAGACAAATTGCCCTTACTTGATGCTGCCCTTATTAGGGTCGCTGAAAATATATATTTCATAATATAAATATTAAAAATATATATAATAATATATATAATATTATATATATATATATAAAATAAATACATATATTTAAAATTTTTAAATAAAATATATATATATAATATATATAATATATATATTATATAAATAATATATATATATATTATATATAATGCAAAAAAGTTCCTTTATAATGGAGAGTCAGTAAGGCTTGGAATTTCTCTATTCTTTCACATGGTTTTTTTGCATAATATATATATATATATATATATATATATATATAATATAAAATATATAATATTGCAAGGGGTTTGCAAGAGCAGCGAAATATAACAAACACTGATCTCTGGCTGAAGAGACTCGAACATACGAACCTTGAACAAGGTACGCATGCTATACCATCAAACCACACGGGCAATACTTGGGGTGCAGCTTGACTACACGTTTACGAAGCAGCCAGCTTTCCCCAAAGGGGAAAAGGGTTTTAGCTGAAGCCTTCTCCCTGAAAGCGGCTGCCTTTGGGTCAATGCGCAGCGCAAGCTGCACACCAAGGTATTGCCCCGGGGGGTAGATTGTATAGCCGCATACCTTGTTCCAAGGGTTTCCCAAAATTCGAGGTGAGTCTCCTTCACCAGAGAACATTTTTTGTGTAATATAATAAAATATGTATATATAATATATATATATATATATAATATATATATATATATAAATAATAATAAAATATTACAAAATATATTATATATATAATATATATATATATAAATATTATTATATATATATATATACATGTTGTGAGTGTGGGGAAGTTCGGAGGCAGTAGTAAAAAGAAAGGGGGGAAGGCCGCCGGGGTTGAGGGGTAAAGATAGAAATTTAAAACAGTGGGGAAAGTTTTGGAGGGTTGGTGCAATTATTAATAAATGTAGGAAAAGGGGAAGGTACCTGGGGTTGGCAGAGAGCAGCATAGTTTTTTTTGTAAAAGGGAAGGGGAAAAAAGAAGTGCAAAATTATAGGGGGGGAATCCGTTTAGTGTACCTGTTTAAAGTGTAGGGAGATTTTTAATTGAAAGAATTAAGAGTAAAACGGAAAAGGATAGCAGATGAACAAGGAGGGTTTGAAGGTTGTGGTTGGTTCCCTGTTCAGGAAACATTGGTTTTTTTGGCTAAGATTTTTTTGCATTTATATTATGGAAGGGCCCTAACCTGGATTATACAAAGGGGCATTGTCAAGGTTGGGTGGAGTTAATTTCCCGTAAATTTTGGAAATAGTAATCCCTTTAGAACACCCAAAAATTAAAAAATTTTTACCCGAAAAAAACTTAGAAAAGGGTGGGATGCAAATTATTAATATATTTATTGGGGTTGTTAAGAGGAGTAGCGAGGGGGAAAGGACGTTGGTTAAAAAATAAAGAATCCACAAAAGTTTGGACCAAGTGCCTTTGGTGTGAAATTCCCTTTTGGGTTTTAAAGGCTCAGAATTTTTGGGGAATATTTGGATTCAAAAAAATAAATACGAAAATATATATAAAAAAAAGATTCCTAAATAAAGTACCCTTTCAAGAATAAATAACCATTTAAATTTAACCTTCACATTTTAAATATTAAACCCCCCAAATTTGGAAAAATATGGCACTTAAACTTAAACAAAACTTTACCTAACAAAAATTTTAAATATTTTCCAACCTCTTTTTACCCATATAAACCCCCAAAACGGGGGAATAATTCATTTAACTATGTGTGTTTTAATCTCCAGGGTCGAAATTTTTGGGAGTAGGAGATTGGGGTTACAAAACTGTCCCGGGTAAAAAATTTTATGGGGACATGTGGGAAAGCGCGAAAAAGTGTAAAAATGGAAAATCGTTGGAGGGGCCCTAGGGCCGGCCCCGGAAGGTGAAGGAAAGGGTGTTTGTTCAGGCTTGGGAAAAAAGCATTTTTTTACTGGAAAAAGGATTGACGAAATTTGGGTTTTTATCTGACTGAGTTGTGAGTGTAGAAATAAAATTTATAAATTAAAAAAATTTTATTAATAATAATTTATTTAAAAATTTTTAATTTTTATTTAAAAAACTGTGTTGATTTGGAAGCAGAGGGTTTAATTTTAATTTTTTTTTTTTTTTGGTTTAATTTTTAATATTAAAAATAAAAAAAAATAATATTTATTTCAGGATTTCCCAAAGCGGCAAATAAACACAGCAATTAGTCAGGGAAACTACACCTTGGAACAGGTTGAGTTAAAAAACCCAACACACAGGACAAACCTCTGAGTTCAACAAATTTTCAATCCCAAGGGAACTTTCGCTTGCCTTTCCTACGTTCCTGGAAACCATCGCCCCAAGCTACCAATATCCATGAATGATAACCAAATTTTCGGGTTCCAAACATGGTGTTTCCCCCCAAAAATTTTTTTTAATTTCCCTTACATTAAAATAATAATAATTATAATGGTATTTTTAATCTAATGAAGGCAGTAACATTTACTGGCCCTCGGGTAAATAACCCACAACCCCCTCCCCCTGGTCGTGGGAAAAAATAAAAAAATTAAAAATAATATTTAAATTTATTCCTATTTCTAAATTACTCGCATCCTCTTAACGTTAAAAACCCTTAGCTACAAAGAAAGATCAAACAACTTTTGGGAAAACCTTGAGCTTCCGGCAGAAATTCGATCTTTCAAAAAATTTTCATCAAAAAAAACCCCAAAAAACTGGGTCCCTGGGTCCATGCCAGAATCAATAAAACAATAAATACAGGGGAGTTTTGATTGGGTGATGGATACATGCAATACTTGTTAAAGGTTCCAAATTTTGGGGTTCGGCTCCTTAGCCAGAAACAGTTTTGTGTGGGGGGTGTATTTATAAAAATTATAAAATTAAAAATATAATTTTTAAAATTTTTTTTAATTTAATATTATATAAAAAAATCATTTATTTAAAATGACTCACATGCGGGGCCCCCAGATAAACACGTCAATTAGTTCACATACACACTGGATACAGTGTTGTTTAAATACAACACAATGGAAAATACCTAAATGTGTATAATAAAAATTTTTTACCCATGGTTACTCCCTCGCAGTCTGCTTTTTCAAGTTACTTTAACTGAAGAAACCCACTGTCAAGAACACATACGATAAAGAATTGCTTATAAAAAACTTTTGTGTCTTTTTCATCACAGGGCAGATGGGGGGAAAATTTCATAATTATACAAAATATTAATTTTCCATAAACACCTACCTGGGAAGATAACGTGATCGTGTCGGGGGACTCCATGCAGCGAATGGGAGATGACAAAGGCGACCAGGTAAGTGACATGGCACCTCGTGTTAATTGGTCCCACCCCCACCCATCTTACCCTCGGGGGGAAAGAAAAAAATAAATATATAAATAATATTTTACCTTTTACTTCCATGTTCGTAATGACTAACAACAAAATTTAGCATAAAACTCGTTTAAAATAAAACCCCTTTGTCTTACATTGCATTGTTTCAAAATTTGGCATGTTTGAAAAGGGAGGGCTTGAAGCCCCTGGCCCAAAAAAATTCGTAAGTGGGGTTTCAACGCAGTTCATCAAAACAGGGGAAAGGGTCTTCTGGCGTCCCCTTGGTTCGAACTGAGTCACTGCAATCCTTCTAAAAAAACAGGAAAGTACAATGAAATATTTTCATTTTGAGAGTTCAAATGTAAGTTAAATAAAATGCTTTTCGTAATTAATCTTACTTTTCATTCCCCTGTTCATCCGAGTACAAGATCTGTAGAAGCCAACGAGATTGTCATTTGGGGAACCAAGAACTCCATGGGAAAAACAATTTTTTCCCGGGGGTTTTTTCTCCTTGTTTAAATTGCAATTAAAATTCTCGTTCTTTGTCAATAGATGCCTTAAAATCCTTTTTCGGGTTTTCCCTCCGATCATCAGGTGTCAAATGTAAAATTAAAGGCGAAATCAAGAGCATTTTCCCCACTGCTGACCAAACAAATATTTTTTTAATCTTTCTTTAATAATCACTCATGATTAGGGGGGGGGAGGGGGGACGATCTATATGATGTAAAGCTGTGAAGAAGTTTCTTATAACAGTTTGATATCTTTAACAATATTTCCAAGACATACCTTGATGGTTCTTTGTTGTGATTATATCATTTAATATGAAGAGTTAGTGTTTTGGAGGTCGGCTCAACCAACCTCCATCTCCACCTCCACGTATCCCATGATGCTTGAAGTTTTGCCATTAATAAAAGGTTGAAGTTTGAACATATAGAGGAGAGGCTTGAAGGGATCTGGTAATCTTACATTGATTTTCCCTCTTAGATGGTGTTTCAGGAGATGTTTCAACCAGGCGAGTTGTGTGGGAGGTTGCTGTAAGATATTATTAACACAGCTAAATAATTAACCATATTTCAGATATTAAAAAAAAAAAAGTTAATGCCGTTTGAAGCTCCAATAATACATTCCTCATAAGATAAAAGTGTGTACAATATATTCACGAGGAGAAGCTCCTAAACATGTAAGGCTCAAACATCTCTTGAAAATGACTGATAATTAAAATTTATCCGAGGAAGACGGAGTAGCTCAAAATTCATGACTCAAGAGCTCTTCACTACTTTATAAAGGCGACAAACCTTGAAAAGGTAATAATGTATAAACTTACCAGGACTGTCTGAAAGACAAATATTTTAGTTAATAGCTTGAAAGCTCGAGGGAAAAAAAAAACATGAATAACTTTGACAAGATCAGGTACTGACTTTAGCTTTCAGCAAACTCTCCTGACTAATATACGAACTAACGTGCTTACATGCGAACCAGCAGTTAACATTTTACATGACAGGAGGCACAGGTGCGAGAATAAGCCACAAAACTAAGTTTGCACTGGAAAACTCAGGCCAGAAATCCTGAAAGGTAATTCATGTACACACTATGGGCAACGTCCTCTGTCGTCTTTCAGGTCCTGGGACCTCTTGTCCTGACCCTTGACATGCGGGGCGTAGTAGTAAACGAGAAGTCCCGTGGCCACTACAACACTCAACGAAGACCAGCCCCAGCCAGAATGCAACACCTCTGCTAACAAAACCAACCGTTCCTCTTCCCGAAGGAGACAGATTGATTAATGTCCATAGTTAAAGTTTCCTGTAACTCTTCTGGACATAAGTATAAGTCCTTGCTGTTACACCGTTGTGGTAAAAAAAGAAAATTATGTATAATGTGCAGTTTATGGAAATAGTAACCGAAGAAAACATGACGAGATGCAGATTGTGAGAAACCAGAAGTAGAAAAAGAGTTTGGATTAATTTATCTTGGAATTTTCTTTCAATCGTCAAAAGAAGGTTTCGCGTAATACAAAAGGTTGTATTTTTACTATAGCCTTAGTATCATTCTCACAATAAAACCCAGCTTAGTGCAGTCAAAGCTCAGTCAAACGAGGAAAGAAACCAGATATGAAACTAATTTAGATGTATTCCATCACCAGAATCATGTACCTGCACATATTTAAACACAAGATAACCTTTCAAGATAGTGTTATGAAGAATGGTGAAATATGAGAACTACTGAATTTCACAGTGAATACACACTCAAGATTTGACGATCTCTGTATCGAATGAGTGCCAGCAGATGTCTCAACAGAGTCTGGCTGAAGTGCTCCCATAAACTCAGGGCATGCACAGTCAACCCTCCCCAGTCTGAAATCATCAGAATGCCTCAGCAACTTGCTAATCCGACCTTTTACCTATTCAGCATGACATATATATATTTATTATTTAATTAGCACACTGGCCGATACCCACCAAGGCAGGGTGGCCGCCCGATAAAGGAAAAAATTTCACCACATTCACTCCATCACTGTTTTGCCAGAAAGGGTTCTTTACACTACATTTTTAAACTTCAACATAACACCCCTCCTTCAGAGTGTCAGCAAGTACATCCCATCTCCAGGATCAAGTCCGGCCTGCCGGTTTCCCTAATCCCTTCACACATGTTTACTGTTGCTACACTCCAACAGCACGTCCAAGTATTAAAACATTTGTCCTCCATTCACTCCTATCAAACACGCTCACGCAATGCCTGCTGAAGTCCAAGCCCCTCGCACAACAAAACCTCCTTTACCCCCCTCTCTCCAACCTTTCCTAGGCGACCTACCCCGCCTACCTTCCACTAACAACTGATACACTCTTGAAGTCATTCTTTTCGCTCCACATTCTCTCTACATGCTCCGAACCACCACAACAAACCCTTCCTCAGCCCTGCTGGACAACATTTTGGCAATCCCGTACCTCCTCCTAACTTCCAAACTACGAATTCTCTGCATTAATTTCTACACCACGCATTGCCCTCAGACATGACATCTCACTGTCCTCCAGCCTTCTCCTCACTGCAACACTCATCACGCAAGTTTTCACACCCAATAAGAGATTGGTAAAACATACTCTCATACATATCCCATCTAGCCTCAAGACAAAGTTTCTTTGTCTCCACAGACTCCTAGTGCCACCGCACACCCTTTTTCCCACTTATAAATTCGATGATTCACCTCTCTTTCATAAACCATCCGCTGACACGTCCACCCCGCAAAATCAAATACATTCACCTCGCCATACTCTCTCCCTCCAACCTGTTATCCAATCTTTCAATCACCTAATCTTTTGTTACCTCATAACCATACTCCCTTTCCTGTATTCACTTTAATTTTCTTCTTTTCATACCCTACCAAATCCATCCACCAACCTCTGCAACTTCTCTTCAGAAATCACCCAAGAGCACAGTGTCATCAGCAAAGAGCAACTGTTGACAACTCCCACTTTATGAGTGTTCTTATCTGTAACTGCCACGCCTCTTGCTGAATATGTAAATCTTTCGATTTAGCTTAAATAGCAACGCTCTTCTTGCAAAATAAGACAAGCGAAAATTTGTATATGCAATAATTTCGCAAAAATACATTCTGAACCCTGGTGCCTGGTGTTAACGCAAACGCTCTCGCTTCACACGGTGGGCCTGGGTTTCGATTCCAGCCAGAGTAGAAACATTGAGACTGTTTCTTTCCAAAACCTGTTGTCTATTTCCCCCATCAGTAAAATGGGTTACCTGGGTGTTAGTCGACGGTTGGGTCGCATCCTGGACACTGACCTAATGAGGCCTGGACACAACCGGGCCGCGGGGGCGTAGACCCCCGGAACTTCTCTCCAGGTAAACTCCAGGTAAACATAAAAAATATTTCATTGTGCTTGTTTATTATAAAATTATTGAAAACGTTATCTGAAATATATTATAGGATATGTCTAAATCAACTAGCGCTTGTTATAATAAGGTTAGATAATTTCTAAGGTTCTATTCTTAACAAAATTATTATTTTACATTAACATACATGAAAAAATATATCCTCAAACGTAAAGAGAAAATTTAGAAACGACTTAATTTTAAATGGAGTTCTTGCTAATTGGACCAGTTTTACCTATTCGCACGACATTTTATATTTATATATAAAGGGATTCTATAGGTCATAAAGGGTCATAAAAATCGAGCGTTAGTCTCCAAGTTACGAATTATTGAAGAGGAATTACTGCTGCACATGCTGAAAGATTAGGGATTACCTAATTACCGTGGTATGGTTTTGTTTGCAATCGTGTCATTACGATTTCGTGAGTCATTCATCCTATGGTCACTTACAGGAGACGACACAGCTGTCACACCACGAAGAACGCATGAGACCAGATGTCAGAATTTGGAAGCAGCAGTGTTTCCCTCACTAAGAAACTTGGATCACAACTGTGGATATACTCGTTTGGCTGGACCTCATTCCACGAATCTTATAACAAATACAAACTCACCTTAAACCCCCCACCTCCTGCACCCCCAACGCAGTACCTGACCTCACCAGACCTGATCTCGCAATATATGATCGTATGTTGTGACAAGTTCTGCAGTGACCATAATGTGTGGTATATCCTTCTCGGAACTTAACCTCGTGGTGCCGTGTTGCCTTATAAAACTGTGTATATGCTCAGTCCCTTGTACATGAAAATCCCCAACCAAGTACAAAACGATGATTTGAAAGGATTCTCAGCTACTTGTCGACTTTTGCCATTGTCTACCAAAAACAAGAGAACATTAAATTCTGAAAAATTCTTTTCTACAAAAATAGACGTATTTGTTATTGTGTAGACAAGAGAGAGAGATGCAACACATAACTCCACCTCTGAGCAAAAGTAAATCTAATTTATTCAGTAAAACTTGGCAAATTAATACCTGTACAGCTGAAAACCATTCAAGGCCTTCTTCTAAGATACATAATAGTTGAAGGTTTAAGACGATCAGACAGTCATTCTCGATTATCGCACAGAAAACTAACAAAATTTCTTCAGAAAAAAAAAAATTAATTTCAACTTATAACATTCAAATGCAAGTGAATCTTTCTTGGAGTTTGATGAATTAGTGATAAAAATTTGAAATTGTTCAGTAGTGTCCACCTCAAGTGTCCTAAGGCTATAATATGACAACTTGGCTCTCAAGAAGTGCAACCAGAATCCGAATGTTTTTCTAAGCAAGATACAACAGCCCTTTGGGGAAAAAAAGTGTGAAGCCAAACCAAAGAGGCATTTTCAAGTTATCGACAGAATTTATCCCAAAACCTTAAATTTTAATTTTCAATTGGGACAAATTACTAATAACAGTAAAACCCTAACTCTAAGTTTAAACTATAGTAGCCTTAAAAGTTTCAATCCTTTCAGAAGAGGCAATTCAAGTATAGTAAAAAACCAAGAAAACCTGCTATCTTTTTTCCGTTCACTGTCTCGCACAGGTTTCTTATAATTTCCATACATCTTAAATTCCAATACTCTGGTATCTTTTTCAAAATACACTATGTACTTGCAAACTTCCTCACCCTGTACTACTTCTCTAATCTATAATTCCTCACTTATGGTATACGTACATGGAGATCTACAACAGCTAATCACCTACCAACCTTTCATTACCCAACAAAATTCAACAAATCGAATGATCTCTTAAGCTGGTTCCAGGCAAAACACACATCCATAATAGGGTAAAGAAACCACGAAATGCACTGATCATGACATTTATTAATGAAAATGTTTTGCCACGAATGGTTTTCCTTTCAGGTCTCTGACTCAACCTATTCAGGAACTCACCTGCCAAACTAGAAGGCCGATAAAAGATTCTTATCGATAAACTGCTCCAGAATTATTAGAAAAATATCATCCATTTAATGAAAATTATGCTTAGCTTACCTATTATAAGATTCAATATATCAATAGAACCTGTCAGTGTAGAATAAAACCCATTCAGTATTCACACAGTAGAAACAGAAACTGTCAACATCTAGGTCCTATATATGAATATTAAATTTTCAATTATTTTCAGTATTAAACCTTGACAAAGCTTTACTAATGTTTCTGTCAAAAGTGTTAAGATAAACACTTATAACACAATGGCAACATTCTTATAGACCCCCACATAAAAAGTATTGGCACTGCAGTTTCAAACATATATAACACTAACCTAAATACTCTGCAAAGTTAGGACGTTCCCAGAAATATGAAATCCTTGTCACTAATTCTATAACAAATGTAAAATACCCGAATTTACTGGAAAAAACATTGTGATGTCCATTTACCGAAGGCTGAATGAGTGAAGTATTTCAGTTGGGGGAGTTATTAGTATGGCCTAATATATAAATTTTTACGTTGTTAGCTACGTAGTTCTTATCCAATGTTGTAAATCTTACACAATGTTGTGTATCTAATAATGTTAATAATAAAACAGTCCCTATAGTGGAAAGAAAGCAATTTCACAAGTTGATATTTATTACTAAGAATTTAAGAGAAGCAACTGAAATAAATAAACACAATGCAGGAGCTTGTTGCTTTGGGGCTGTTGTTTTCATGTTCCACATAATTATATTCTGTGAGTAATGGCAGGGTGCGAAGGTTGCTTGTCGCAACTCCAGATGTCCTTATCTACCGCCCCACTGACGCCTGCAGTGATTGGAAAATAATAATAATAATAATAATAATATAATAAAAAAATAATAATAATAATAATAATATAATAATAATAAATAATAATAATAATAATAATAATAATAGTAATAAATAAATAATAATAATAATAATAATTTCTACAAGTACGTACATGTACAACCGTTTACAGACTTAGCCGATACAACGACATATTATATAGAAAACCCCTTGTTAAGCAGAGCATTTCGGGCATATTAGGTAATTTTGTCCCCCAGGATACTAACCCACACCAATGCTTAACACCCAGATACCTACATACTGCTAGGTGAACAGGGACACCACGTGTGTTAAGGTAGAAGACCGCAATGTTTTTCCCCAACCCGTACCGGGATCGAGTTGAGTGCCCTACCAACCGCCAGGTGGCCCCTCACTCATCTCCTGTGAGAGTCACTGACACCTACCTGCACCTACTGCTTCCTGACACTCACCCCAACCTGTGTGAGTGTTACAGCCACGTCTTCATAGTTAATTGTCCCAAACTTCCCAGGCTCCTTGACCCACTCCCACTTGTGACAGGCCACTAACACCTCATGTGGGTTTGATGTCTGCACCTCCTACCTCCTGACTTCAATCCATTTTTGAGAAATAACAACCACGTCTTGTGGACTCGCTAGCCACCTACCTGCCACATGATCTCTGCCAACAACCTCACGTCTGAGGTGTTGCCACTTCCTATGTTAAGTGGGTCTGCTACTGCAGGAGGCTTCATGGTCAGGCGTGCAGTGACTGAGTACGCAAATTTTGCAGTGTTTACACAGTACTGGCACACCAGTGTAACAACACCAGTAGCATGGCATACTGCACTAAACAAAACTTTTACCATAATATAAAAAGATAATCTTCAAGAAGCGGAGGAGACCCAATGATGACCCTACAATCACGTTTCCTATGAATCCCCAAATGTAAATCCATACAATTAATAAAACACACACACCAGTGTTAAAAAAAAAATGACACCAGTGCCCAGCAAATATCATTTAAGAGGGGGGGGGGGGGGAGGGGGGGGGGGACCATGGGTCTAGACAAGTAGCGTTATCATTCTTGATCAAGCTCTACGGCAGAGAAAAGTCGTAAGTCAGTGTTGATCTGGTGACTGTAATTTTTAAGTGTTATGCTTCCTAACACCTCCAGCGTGACAACCTGCTCTATTAGTCCGTTCATTTTCTTACGAAGTTCTCCGGTCAGTTCCTTAAAGTTTCCATGTATAACTAACCAATATTATTTTCCCTTATTTTAAAATTATCAGGGCATACGCATCAATTATTATTTATTACTATTGCTGACATTCAATCAGGATCGATCACAGGGGAGGGTAGGTCCAAACTGATGGATCAACGCCCTCTTACCAGCGTCAGGAAAACCTTCCATGGTGAGTGGCGGTGGTGAGGGTAATCAAGTCAACGTTCAAAATGTACACGAGAATGACTCGTGCATATTCGTCGTGGACAAGAGATTTGTTTTTCCATTGATAATTATGTCCCTAATATATGCGATATTAAAGTATTTTAATTCCTCGAAGTCCACTAGAAATTAAATACTGGGAATTTTATGTAAAAGACCACATGAAATGAGTTGGTTAGGTAAGGTTCGTCAGGAAACAGGAGATTATTTCCTGCGAGGGAATATGACCCGCCCCGTTGGAGCCTATGGTCGTCAGACCGAGGGCCTTCGCTGGCTTGCCGGACTACCCTTTAAAAAATTATGGTCCAGAGTTATAACCATTTGTAATAGCAAGTATGAAATAGTGTTAAAAATTTATCAATTCATTTCTCATCGTCAAAATCGCATCCACGAGACAGTTTAAATAGTAAGAACCCAACACCGTAATAATTATTTCTTATATACTGGGAAAAACCTTTCGGTTTGTCCTTTAAAATTCCTTTGTAACTTGGAATTTCAGTCTCGTTTAACTGTTTTATCACATTGTTTTTTTTTGTGACAAGGGTTTTGCCTCCTTGAATAACCAAGAATAAAGTCAAGAAGGTTATTTATTCCTCATTGGTTCTTCCACAATCTGCTTACAAAGCAATCCTGGACTGCTCGAGGAAGTCACTTTAACTAGAATCCCATTCACTAATTCGCCATTATGGCTGAAGTTAAATCAACTCCAGTTAATAACATTTTTCATAACTTCATATAATAGCAGATTATAATAAAAAATGTCTCACATAGATTCTAAAAAAGCGGTTTTGATATTTCACGCCTAAGATCAGCTTAACGTTTCCTTCAGAAATCAGCAACTAGACAATTTTTCGATTCCTATGAAACACCTCTGGGAAAAGACAATATGGTCTCCAAGAGAAAAGTTGTCCGAGCCTTTGGTTAAACAAGATCTTTTTGAGGCAGTAGTTCAAGTTTCTTCACATTAGAGTCAAACAAATTTTTGGTGTCCCATTCGTATTGAGTCTCGTATTATGCATAATATCAATTTTCTGCAAAATCAGGTAACCTCGTCCATATAACACCTAGACTATCACTATTTGTTCAATATAAAATGAGAAAGTTTTTTTCTTCTGTGTATTCCTTCAATTGATTATTTTTGTAATTGCTTACAATGATTTAATATCAACCTATGATCTTTTCTATTACATTATTCAGATTAACAGATTATGCCTGTTACGATGTATTACACAACTCACTGATTAAGTCGTTCATTCAAATGCTATATCATACCAGCAGAACAAAAAGTTAAAAGACTTTTCACAATATGCATTCGACCTATTTACCGACCTCCCTCTGGCCTATAAACAGCGTCCCCGCGCATAAGAACATAAAAGAGACGGAAACACAGCAACAGCCTCGAGGCCTATGTGAGGCAAGTCCAATTCTCCCACCGGCTTAAACCAATGCCTTGACCTAGTAAGGTCGGACACGTCACTTTAGGGAGGAGCACTGCATCCGACCAAGTAGCACAAGCTAGTTCAGGTCATCACCACATCCACTCTGTATTTTGTCCACCTACTTTTAAAACTACACAACGTCTATGCGTCTATGACGGTACTCGGGAGTTTGTTCTACTCGTCCACAACTCTATTACCAAATCAGTGCTTTCCTATATCCTTCCTGAATCTGATTTTTTCCAATTTAAAGCCATTGCTGCGAGTCCCTAAGTTAGATATCCTTTAGTCCAACGCTGTTTACATCCCCTATATTAATTCCTGTTTTTCATTTATGCACCTCAATCATATCCCCCCTAATTCTATGCCTTTCTAGCGAGTGCAGATTCAGGGCCCTCAGTCTGTCCTCATAGGGAAGATTTCTGATACATGGGATCAACTTTGTCATCCTCCTTTGTACGTTTTCCAGAGCATTTATATCTATTCTGTAATCTACAGCCAAGACAGCTTCTTGGCTTATCAAGAAGTGTAAATAATAGAAGTCCCAGTACAAAGTTATACTTCAAATTTTCGTATTGCTAGTAAAGCATCGTTTAGATTGTTCAGCTCAGTTTTTGTTCTCCATATTAATATGAAACGACCAGTGCCTTGGGAAATACCAAAGAGAAGAACGAGAACGTTTTAATCCCTGTATCGGAAACCGTTTTCCTACCAATATTTTATCATGTTCGTAAATCACTTTGACTGATAAATACATAAATGATTGAATCTGTTATTAATGTCACTGTTTTATAATTCACAAAAGAAACCAGTAAACGTCAAATAATCAAAAGAAACATAGTATGCCTAACAGCCCAGTGGTGGCTTTTATTTTTTTTGGACCCCCCACATTATACATAATGTTGCTTATCTTGATAATTAAGACACCTGTACAACAGTTATCTTTGTGTAATCGAACATACAATGGCTTTTATTTCCACATTTACATCAACAGTGATCAACACTGATCCCAGTGGAACGCCATTTGAGACTGGTCTCTAAATCGCTTTCCCTTTCTTTCTGTTCCACCCGTTTACTACTACTTCTTTCTGCTTTAGTATGCAAACACGAAACCTCGATATACTTGTCAACTCCACTGGTTCACTTCCAAGGCGACCAACACATCCTTATTCTTACACTGACCTGTCCCGCATTGGACGCACATGAAGCTGTAAAGAAAAATAACGACAAGACTACCATAAACTTCCGAAGGCGCTATCCGTTCACTGTTGGTCATCTAAAATTGTACGAAACTTTAATACAGTCGGACTTGGGAGTGTTGCAAAGATACATTCGTGGTATGTGTCTATAGGAAACTCCATACAAACATTTAGACAGAACTTAAATTCTATCTGGAGAACTACAGCAGAACACAAGAACAAGTGTCATATTGACATTCCCAGTGTGTGTATCACAGCTACCAACAGCTTTACTAATATCTTCAAGAAAACAACAACTAACTAAAAATCTCACATAAATAATATATCATCTGACTGTAAAATTCATACTTTTGATTTTAACAACCCAATTCAAAACCTAGATAAAAAAATTTGGAATACACCATTCTTTCAATTTTAAAGCCTGTGTCATTGTACTTAAGATTTTAATGAATAACCCAAGCTATACTGACTTAAGTTTTATTTAGGTCTTGATATAAGTAGTACTTAAGCTTATGATAGCCTGAACGGAACTGCATGTGTCATTTCGAACAACCTAATCAGGCTTGATCGAACAATCAATAATGTATCAAATTAATTACTGCAATTAATAAAAAGCTCAAACTCACATGTAATCATTTCGAATATATAACTACTGTATTTGTAAGGTCGTTAGAAAAAATGGTCTTTTCAATACTTTTTATGCTATATGTTACTTAAGATTCATACAGAAACACACAAATAACTGCGAGTAATATAAGTCGTACGTAAGGCGATTACAAAAGTAAAGTGAGGAATATTTTTGGTTCAAGATCGAAAGCTTATAATAGCATGATTCTTTATGTAGAGACACATTCCCTGACGCTGTGAACACATTACCTCTTTAACACCTCCAAGACACCACCAGAAAAAAACTATTTTCAACGCCTGTAGAAGAAACTCACCTACCTTCCATCAAACACGAAGACAGATAAACACCAGAGCTTCCCCACCTCACCATCAACAACGTCACATATGCCATAACACTTAGCGGATTATTAAACTACGCTACTTTGATTTACTAAGTTTCTTTCTAATATATATTTACATATCTATATATTAAATATATATATGATAGAATATATATAATATATATATAATATATAATAAATATATATAAAATAAATATATAATGTCGTGGCCGATAGGCAGAACTTTTGCGATCCTGGCTTAAATAGCAACGTCTCAACTTGCATATAGGACAACAAAATTTTGTGTAGGCAATAATTTCGCCAAATCATTCTGAACCTACGAAAAAAATATATTTCACTATGTATTGTTAGTATTAAATTTATCGTAAACAAATTTAAAACATATTTTAGTTTGGGTTAAGCAAAATAAATTGTTCATGTTAAATAAGGTTATGTAAGTTTTCTAAGTATACTTTTGTTCAAAATTAAAAAATTTTACAATAACACCAAGGAAAACAATATATCTTTAACGTATAAGAGAAAATTTCAGAAAAGGACTTAATTTTGATGAGTTCTTGGCTAATTGACCAGTTTACATATTCGCACGACATATTGGTATATATATATATAATATATATATATATATAATAAAATATATATAATATATAAATATATATATATATATAATATATATATATATATATAAATATATATATATATAAATATATATATGTCGTGCCGAA